AGTGTAGAACCCTTGAGGCACTAAGAATTTGCAAGCTCTGATTCTAGGCTTTATCAACCCATGTTAAGTGAATGCACAAGTTAATTCTTATTCTTGCTATCCACATGGGTTACTAAGCCAAAAAGAATACTGACTATAGAAAACGGAAAAACTAAGATATGTAAGAGATTTGTCTTTTATTTATAGAAAGGAGGAAACTGAGCCCAATATCCTGACTGTGGTCAAACCCTAGAGAAAGCAAACAATGACTACAACAAAGGAATGACAGCAACTACTCAGAAAAAGTAAAACAAACCAAACAATTCTTCATGGAAAAGGTAACAGGTCTTTGTTTTAGATCTTTTTTTTTTTTTAATAATATACACAGGCTTAAATATTAACCTGAAAAAACTGAGATAAAGCATTAAGTCAAAGCATTATAGCTAGAAGGTTATCTTTCTTCAATATTTAATGGATCTGTGATCTTACTGTGGTGTGCCTTCTCCTTCAGTTCACAACCCTTCCATCCTGCGTCATTCTCTTTTCCATATTTTTAAGCAAATTTTTCACAGAAAACCTACTCAACATACTTGAGCCTTTCCTCTAAATCTTTTTACATTTTATGAATATCAGAAATAGCAGACCTTTTTAAAAAATGTATTTTATTGACTCTTTTCTCAAGGCAGGAATGCTCTCTATCCTTGCAAGCAATAACTATTGTTACTGACGTTCAGGTACCTCAAACTCGTTAACTGTCCAAAATGGATACCACCACCTTGCAAAAGGGCCAGGATTTGAAGCCAAAGATCCTAAGCTGAAGTCCTAGCTCAGCCACTCGCTATGCATGTGATCTCACCCGCTTGTGTCTCAGTCGAGCATAAAATTTGGGGGCTGGACTAGATAAATTTCAGGCTGGAAGGGGCTTTAGACTTTTATGATCCTATCAATGAACAAGATAAAGTTTAATAAATTGCTAGAGCCTGATAATTTCTTTTCTGTGATGTGACACTGGTAAAAAAAAAAAAAGAATTGCTGTTGAGTTTTTTTTTTTAGTTGTCTGATTCTTTGCAACTCCTTTTGGAGTTTTCTTGGCAAAGATATTAGCTAGAGTGGTTTGCCATTTCCTTCTCCAGCTCATTTTACAGATGAGGAAACTGAAGCAAACGGGGTGAAGTGAGTGCTTGAGGCCACATTCGAACTCTGGAAGAGGTCTAGCACCTAGCTAGCTGCAGTGTTAAAATATAGAGGATCACAGGATTGTAGCTATGGAGCTGGGTGGAGGCAAAGGTAGCTTAGATGAACTGCAATAAGCACCAGAAACATGATTAGAACGTGGTCTTTCTGACTCGGAAAGAGCCCTGCATTTGGAATCTGAAGGTCTAGTTCAGATCTTGGCCTTGCTACTGTATGACCTGGGGGCAATAGCACAAAGTCTCTTATCAGGCCCCTGTCTTGTAAAATTAGAAAGGCAAACTAGATGACCTCTGTAGTTCTTTCTGGATCCTGAGCTCTCTACAGCCTTTCTGGAAAAAGTAATTCTTAGAAGGACACTAGGACTAGAATTTAAGAATATCTTGGGGACAGCTAGGTGACACAGTGAATACAGCTCTGGCCTTGGAGTCAGGAGGACCTGAATTCAAATCCAGCCACAGACACTTAACACTTACTAGCTATGTGACCCTGGGCAAGTCACTTAACCCTGATTGCCTCACCAAAAAGAAAAAAAAAAAAAAAAAGAATATCTTGAAGGAGCAAGCAATCAAAAAAAAATATCAATTGACTCATCAGGTCCTTCTAATGAAAAAATTTCAAGCTCGATATCTATAAGAGTTTTGTGCTTGAAAAATATATGACTACCTCCCCCTTCAAAATATAAGACGAATTTCAGATCTTGCATAGAAATCATCATTTTTTGCAACAACTGTTCTAGTTTCATACACAGTCAGCAGGCAATAAATATGTGTCCAACTGAATTCCACTTTCTCTGACTCAGTATAAATCAGTACCCAAGATTCTTCAGCGGTTTTTATAGTTTAGAGAGAGATTGATATTTAATAACTAAAACCCCCCGAGAACATGTTTTGATTTTTGAATGATAATGCATATATTTGGGTAAAGCAGTCATAAACCAATGACCAAAATTTGCTAGAGCTTTGCAAATTGATTTTTGTTAGTAGGGTTTGAGATGAAAATTCCCATAAGAAAAGATGTCATTTCTTTGATGGCAGAGGTTGGCCTTACATAAATTGTTCATTAAAACCTAGAAAGACAGGTGTGTATTTTCAATTACCTATTGTTAAGCACTGAGTAGATGGTCTCAAGATGAATGAAAAGAAGTAGGGTAAGTATATTTAATGAAGTATCCTTTTTTTATAACATAATGATTGTGCGGGAAGGGAAAACTGCCTTTCATATACACTAATGACTGACAGTGCACTTATCTCAAAAGTTTAATTCATTTTCTTATGGCACAGGGTATATTATGATTTTTCTTTTGATCACTGAATTCCCATATTTAAAGGTTTCTAGCTAAAAAATCCAGGGACTAGAGACTGTATTCAACACGTAAAAAATGTTTTTCTGGTTCCTGAATTCAATTTTGATGTATTACCTTAAATGTATAAACATTTCTATAGGATTGGCTAATGTCATATTTCCTCTTAGGAATTTTTAGGCCAGTTAAAATCAGTTAAAAAATGTACACTAAAATAGAATTTAAATTGAACAAGCATACAATCATGTCTCAGATCAGGTCCTTTTGGCAATGGGATAGGAAATTCATTTTCTCAAGGCATGAAAAGTATACTGGACTATTTTTCTTCTGGTCACTAAACCTCAATTTTAAAAGTTCCTAGACTTAAAAAGCTAGGGACTGAGGAGATGATACATATATACATACATGTATACATGAATATATGTTTGTGTCTATGTGTTCATGCAAATGTTCATACTTTCACATTCCATAGAACTCTTGGACCAAGAAATACAAGGTCTTTTCTTCAATATATAATTGTGGTTTTTGTTTGTTTTTTTGGGGGGGGGGGCTAGGCAATGGGGTTAAGTGACTTGCCCAGGGTCACACAGCTAGTAAGTGTCAAATGTCTAAGGCTGGACTTGAACTCAGATCCTCCTGACTTTAGGGCTGGTTGCCTAGCTGCCCCAATGTATAATTGTAAACCTGAAATTGGACAAGAGGCCATCAAGTCCAACTCTCTCATTTTAGAAAGAAGAAAACTGAGTCCCAGGGGGGTTTGGTGACCAACCCAAGGTCAAAAATAGTACTAATTATCAGAGGTATGATTTGAAGCCAGGTTCTCTGATTTCAGAACAAGTACTCTTTCCACTGTACAATGCGCTCTCTCAGCATGACAAAATAGAAAGAGCCTTGAATCTGGAGTCAAAGGAGCAACACTCAAATCCCAACATTGTTGCCTTGGATTAATTTAGGTAAATCACTCTGGTCCTCAGTTTCTTCATTTATAAACTGAAGGAAGTGGACTTAGATGGTCTTCAAGATTCCTTCTAGATCTAATATGAGATACTTAATGGTAGCAAAATGATTACTAGGATAAGAGATCTCAATTATAGTTTTCATTTTTCCATTAAATGTACAATCTCAGAGAAGTCACATAACCTGTCTGTGTTTGAGATCATCCTTCTATAAAAATGGCAATATTTGCCTCTTTCTCATAAAGATAATGAAAAAAAAACATTAAATTAAAAATATTAAGATTTATCCATTTACTAACATTTATCCATTAAGAAATTATTTTGTATAACTTTATTTAGAAACCATTTAAAAAAACTCAAATTGTGCTTTGGAACTTGCTGATGACTATTTGACTAGTAAGTGGTGCAACTGTGGTCCAAAACCAGGTCTTCTAACTCTTAAATCTATTGCTCATCCACCCTACTAAGCCACTGGAGTGTAAATCTTAGAATATTTAAGAGTTCATTCATTTATCTATTCTGCGCATTTCCAGAGAAAGGCTATTATGTGCAAGGAACTATACTGTGTAGTTTGGGGGCAATGGGCATAAAGAAGAAACAGTCTCCATCTTCAGCAAACTTAAAATTTTATAGAAGAAATATGATACCTGAGCAAATCACTATCATAATAACAAGGTACTTAAGGTACTTAAAGTACTTTTTCCCAAACATCCCTATGAAGGAAATAGTAGAAAAGGCAGAGGTGACAAACAGACCCAAAATATTCAATGGGCATTCAGAAGTGGATGAGATTACATCTAGAGGGAAGAAGATCAGAGAAACCTCTTTATGAAGAGATAGCATTTGAACTGAATTTTCATAGGTGGATATGCGGGTGGTGCTTATAGTATGAGCAAAAGCGAAATGAGGGATGAGTGTGTGTCACGCTTGGGAAATGTCTACTGATCCACTTTACCCCAAGCATATAGTGCTCTTAGTGGACCACTTGGAAATAAACTTGGAAAGGTACACTGAGGCCAGATCATCAGAGGCCTTAAAAGTTGGTTTAAGATATTTTTGTTCATTGGAAAAAAATAGTATTTACCCAGAGAAACAACTCTTTATAATGTGAATATCCATAAGCTATATCTTTTTTACACATAAAAATATAGGAGTTTCATATTTGAACATGAAAAACAATATTTGACATAAATATGTGTAAATAATGTCTTAAGTGACAGAAAAATTTCAGTTACCCACTTGGCTCCTAGGGTTTAACATAAGAATTGGGAGAATAAGTCTCACCAGGCATACACTAGGCATACACATCAAGTTACTGTTGTTGCTGTTGTCATTATTATTACATCGTGCCTTAAGGTTTATAAAGTGTTTTCTTCAAAACAATGAATGTGATGAGTTGCCTGAGAAATGTAGGTTAAAGTCAGATCATCAGAGCACTTGAATACCAGGTACATTTTTGCAAACTAGCTTTTTCGACCATTGGAAAAAATCATGTTTTACAGGAGTACAGAAACGTAGAAATGACTAATAGTAATTTTTTAAATAAAATATTTTTATACACATTTAATTACCTTAATTTTCAGAGATCAGACTGTCATCAACTTCAGCCATCTTGAATAAGGGTTGAATCTAGACATAAAATAGAGAAAGAAATAATCCCTGAGAAGAAAGTAACAAAAATAGCCAAAGACCTGATGACTATTATGACCCAAGTCTTAGAACTATAGATTATTAAGATTTGGAAGGAATTTAAAAGTTCATCTAATTCAACCCCCTCATTTTACAGAGCAGGACACTGAATCACAGGGGGATGAAATGACTTACCCAAGGTTGTAAAAGTACTTTGTAGTTAGTGACAGAGCCAGGATTTGAACCCATGTCTTCAAGTTCCAAATCCAGTGATTTTCCCCTTACACAACAGACTGCTTGAAATGAACAGGTACAATGGATGGAAGTGCAAATATCCAAGAAGAATATTTTTTAAAGAAGGAGAAAGTCCCATGTAAATATTGTCAAGAAGGCTAAAGCCAAGAATGAGCAGAAGTTTGTCAAAAAGAGCTAAGAACAACAAAAGGGCTTTTTGAGCTTTCTCAGAGTAAAGAGGAAAAATAAGAGATAGATTCACTGTATGATATAGATAGGATACTATTACAGTGAGGAAGTAGAACTAGTCAGCACCTACTTTTCTTCTCCCCTAATCAAGAAGAATACTATCCAGACTAAAAAGGACAGAGCTAAAATGGTTAAGAAAAAAACATAACCTAAAATAAGTGAAGAGATAATTGCCAGAAATAACTCCAAGTAATCTTGCTCAGATGAATTATAATCCAAAATATAAAAGAATGTACATAATAGTGATCTTTGAGAAATCATGTAGATCAGGTTAAGTCTCACTGGACTGAAGACAGAAAAATATCTCAATTTTCAGTGGGAATAAGGCTGATTCTATAAACCATAGTCTGGAAAGCAAGAGTTTTCTAGCAAAATTCCGTAATGAGTGGTTTGTGAGCCTGTAGTGAGGAAAATGGCAATCACCAGGAGCTAGCATGGATTCACTGAGAATAAATAATACAAAATCAACTTAAATTCAGTTTTTGTATAATTACTTGGGGTGGATCAAGAAAAGGTCAACAAGATAGAATACTGGTATTTCTATAAAGCATCTAAAAAATCTCTTACAATGAGGGATATGTGGGCACCAGTTCAAACTGACTCACAAGTGCTCGTTGTTAAATTTGAAATTGGTAAACAGACTATAATTCTCCAGGTGAGATCTGATAAGGGCAGAATACAATGAGATTTCCCCTTCTCTCTTCTATGACCCTCAAAATACAGTCCATGATGAATTAGCCTTTTTTGTTGGCACAACACACTGCTGACTTATATTGAACTTACAATCTAATAAAACCTTTTTTTTTTTTTAATCATTGGTCAGATCCCAAATAGCTACATTTGTAGCTTTCACTAAACTAAGGGAGTAGGAAAGGATGAAGGGGACAAATATTGGCTCTTTTTCATTAAAAAGTTATTGGTGCCTTTTACGCTAGTCAGTTCCTGAAACATTTTCTCCCCTACTCCCCCACCAAACACTTGCCTACAGAACATTTCTTTGTAACAGAGAAAAACAAGCAAAATCTATGGACAAAATGATACTGTCTGACAGTATACAACATTTCACAACCCTAGTAACCAACCCTTCTCCACTGAGAGACGGGAAGTGTGTCTGACCTTCTATTCTCTGGGACCAAGACACTGCAATTATTCTGAACTCACATCAACTTTTGCTGTTATTTTCACCTATATTATTGTAGTCATTATTTTCCTAGTTCATTCAGTAACAATTCACACAAATTTTCTTATGTTTTCTGAATTCCTCATATTAACAATTTCTTACAGTGCAATAATATTCCATTTCATATACCATATTTGTCAACAATTCTCTAATTGATGGGCAGCCACTTGATTTCTAGTTGTTGGTTGGTTTGTTTTATTCTGTTTTTTTTTTCCGTGTCACAAAGTGCTGCTACAAATATTTTGATACATATGTGACCTCTGTGTCTTTGGTCAATTTGAGGTAAATACTTAGCAGTGGGATGTCAGGGTTAAAGGGTTACCAGAATGATTTAATCAATTTACAGCTCTACCAACAATACATTAGTGTGCCTGTCTTCACATAGATTCTGCAGCAAAGACTATTTCTGGCTTTTATAATTTTCCCCAATTAGATGGGTGTGGCAAGAAATCTAGTAAATTGCTTGAAGAAAGATCATTTAGCTTCTATCGATCTCCAATCTAGCACAACAGCTTACACATAGCGATCACTTAATACTGTCAATTTTAATTTCATCTCAGAGTTTTTGTTTGTTGTGACCATTTAAGTAGTCTATACTTTAATTGGTATTAAACATTACCAGCCTCATTAAGTTCCGTTCAACAAATATTTATAAAGCACCTGCTATAAGAGAAGCACTGGTATAGATGCTTGCGTGGGAAGACAGAAATGAAACAGTTTATCCAGAAGTTTACATTCTATTGAGGAAATACAACATATACACAGGTTAAGTAAATGAAACGTAATTTGAGAAGGGGGCTATTCTTATCAACTAGGTAGATCAAGGGAGCTTTCCAATAGGAGACATCACTGAGCTAAGAATTGAAGGAAGTTAAGGATTCTAAGAGGCACTGATGAGGAAGGAATAAATCCAATGCATAGCAGGGGTGAAGAGTGCCACAGCCTTAAGAAAAGCCTATGCAAAGGAAAAAAACACATCAGATTGAATGATGTTTGAAGCCAATAGGCCAGTTTTGCCATGGTATAGGCATATGAAGGGGATTAATGGCAAATCTCAGAAAGGAGTGGGGAGGAGAGACAGAGAAAGCAAATTGAGGCCAGAGAGTAATATAAAGCAACCAAAGTTTTCCTCACTAAATAGAGGTACACATATTGTATGTGTGTATGTTATTTTAAAATAATTGTCATTCAGTATTTTTTCATGTTTGTGCTAAAAATCCTAAGCATCAAGCAAATTTTAAAGAATGTTGTGATCTATTATGATTATATTGGAGTCAAATATTATGGGCCAATATAAGTTTGAAGGATGGGGCTAGCTTCAAAACTGGGGTGATGGTACCATCGGGGACAAGATCAAAATTGTATTATCCCTAGAAACATGAGCCACTACTAAGTCCTAGTACATAATGTTGAGTTGGGTAGGAAAATTCTCCTTGGTTTATTTCATGGTCATTTTAGGTATATTCTGTATATGATTATATATATAACTATTGGGTCCCCATTAGAATGTAAGCTTATTTAGGGCACAGACTTTTATATTTTTCTTTATATCTCCATTGTGTTTGACACAATGTCTGGAACACAGGCTTAATAAACGCTTGCTTGTTGATAATTTATCTATTCAGATGGAGCCTGGAGTTCTTTATTGTTCACCTTTCACACTTCATAATATTTCTATCAGTAATTGTCAATAAGCATTTATTAAGTGCTTACTAAGTGCCAAGGACTGTGCTAAATGCACATTATATTATTACACAGTTGAAAATGCACACAAGAATATGTGACAGAAAATGAAAACAATAAATGTTGGAAGGGATATGGAAAAATTGGGACACTAATGCACTGTGGGAGGAGTTGTGAACTGGTCTAACCATTCTAGAATACAGTTTGAAACTATGCCCAAAGGGATATAAAATCATGAACACCCTTTGAAACCAGCAAGTCGACTACTAGGTCTATATGCCAAAGAGATCAAAGTAAAAAGAAAAGGACTCCTATATACTATAAGATTTATGGAAACTTTTTTGGTGGTGGCAAAGAATTGGAAATTGGGGAAATACCTATTAACTAGGGAATGGCTATACGATTGTGACGGAATACTATTTTGCTATAAAGAATGACAAAATGACAAGGAGGATGCTTTCAGAAAAACCTGTGGAAAGCCTTACATAAACTGGTGCAAAGTGTAGTGAGTAGAAGTAGGAGAACATTGTACATAACAACAGCAATATTGTAGAATGATCAAGTACAAGTTACTCAGCTATTCTAAGAAATACAACCAACAATCCAAGACAGTTCTGAAGGACCTAGATGAAAAATGTTATCCATCGCCAGAGAAAGAATTGATGGAATCTGACATGCAGACTGAAGCACACTGTTTTGTTTTTTCCACTTTATTTTTCTTGGGATGTTTTGTCTGTGTTTTGACTGCACACATATAACCTTCATCAAAATACCTGCCTTAACAATGAAGAGGAGGAGAAAAAGAGTGGGAGAGAATTATTTGGAATTCAAAATTATAAAAAACAAAGGTTAAAATTGTTTTTCCATTGTAATTGGAAACAATAAAATTTTTAAATTTTAAAAAGAAAAGAAATGATGAAGGGGATGGCTTCAGAAAAACCTGGGAAGACTGATATGAGCTGATGCAAATAGCAACAATGACCTGAGACAAATCTGAAGGACTTATGAAAGATGCTATCCACCTCCAGAGAAAGAACTGATGAAGTCTGAGTGCAAATTGAAGCATAATTCTTGCTTTTTTTTTTCAACATGGCTAATATAGAAATGTACAATTGATATTACATTTCTTGCCTTCTCAATGGGCAAAGAAGGGATGGATAGAGTGCAGAACACCAATATTTTTAATGCTAAAAATAAATAATAAATTGAATTTTTAATAAAAAAAGAAAATATACATATGTAATTTTTTTTCCATAAGAAAGCCAACAAAAGAAACCTTTCCTATGCTCTTTAATGCCTAGATAGTGGTCGATACTAGAAGGCCAATTTAAGCAAGAATTTACAAAATGAACAGATCCTTCAAAAGAAAGAAATGTTTACTGATCTTGACAATATTTACATTGCTGCATATAAATATTAAAATACAAATTTTTCCATAAACAAATTTGTATTGCACATTTTATTTACACTAAAGTAATATGTCTGGGATATGCTTAATAAATGCTAATGTCTATCCTGTATTCTGTGCATTCCAAGGGGTAAGAGGTAACGTATCCACTATTCCTGCTATATTGGTAAAGTTTTTCTTTAAGTTCACTTTTATGTCCAAAGAAAGTGAGACATGGTCGTTGTCCTTTTTCCCCACTCAAATAGG